TCCGGGCCAGGAATTGTCGGTGTGTGAGCGTCCCAAAACAAGCGCATCCGAGCGGTGTGGATGCCGGGCGCGGCAGGTGGGGGACCCAGGAACGTAGAAGTGCCGAAGCCCAGGAACACAGGTGGAAAAACTAACATTTTGTCGCGCACGCCTCTGGGGTCGGCGAATTAAACCGACGTGCGCGGAGTGGCGGGGGTCCAACATGCGCTTGGCGCGCGCGCGGGGGACGTGTTTTCATGTGTCCGCCCCCAGGGGGGACCGAACTTCTAATAGTCGACGGATCCTTTTCACATTAAAATACTTGGCAGAAGGGCGGACTGAGCATGCGCCTGGCGCGTGCGCGCGGGGCGCGTGTTTTCATATGTCCACGGCCCCCTGGGGTGAACCCGGCTTCTAGTCGGCGAACCTCTCACACGAACACGGTAAAAGTACGTGTGCGGGGGGTATCCCAGTTTGTGCTTGGCGCGCGCGCGGGGCATGCCTGCTCACGTGTCCACGGCGCGCTGCGTGTCTTCTGGGGTGCCAGTTCGGCGAGGACAGCATCGAGCACTACTGTCGCTGTGCTACGTATCAGCGTTTCTGCACTATGCTGGGCTGGCCGTCCCAGCAGCCGAGGACACGCTGGCGTGCTTGCTGAACTTCGGGCACCCGACCCTGAGCAGGAGCGGCGGCACCAGTTCATCTGAGCGGGCCTTGCTGCCGCGAACTCTCATCGCGCACGCGGTGTGCCGCGTGCAAGTCGCGGTCCGCGCAAGGACGTTGCGCGTTGCCAAGGCCGCGGACGCTCTCCCTGCCATGCTGCGGGAGGGCGCGCGTGGGCACCATGCCTTAGAGTTCCGTCGTTCCTTTCTCTTTACAGGAGGAAAATTTTCAAATAGTCAAAAAATGGTATGGGGATTATGTTTTGAGTATTGTTGATCCTTTTTCAAAAAAAAAAAAACAATTTTTGACATTTTTTATTTTCCGTCCAAAATCTAGAGGCGCTTGTCCGCGCCGCGCGCTGCCGGCAGCGCGAGAAACAAAAAAACCGGTGTGTTGTTTCCTCCCCCTCTTCTCTTTCCTCCCTCATTGTGCCGTCAACCGCAATATGCAGTTTGACATGGCTTCGCGCCTTCCCACCCTCTGTGAGCCATTGGTTTGTTTTCGTTGTGTATTCCGTGCTTCCCCCTCCTCTGCCTCGCCTCCTCTCCGTCCTCTTTCCATTTAGGATATTTTGGGATTTTCAACTTACGTGGTCATCCACGGAGCTTGGTCTCCGATTCAGCACGGCAAGAACAACAATCACGTTTCGTGGCCGCCTTGTGCGTTGTCGTTCTGTTTCTGCGTGCGGCCAGCGCCCATCTTGCAACAGTTTGTCTTACTCGCCTCCTCCTGCTCGCTTCCTCTCCTCTGCCCGTTTCCTCGCTTCGCTCCCGGCGCAGTGCCGATACGTTTTGGGGTGAATTCGTATCGCTTTAATTGCCCAAATTTCCGCCCCGTTTGATTGGCACACGCCCGCGTCCGGAGCCATCGCCGTTTTTTGGGGCATGGCTCTCCCAGGAATTTCGGCCACGCTCGCAGGACTGAGGCGCTCCGTATATAGCTTCGCTGTCCGATCCCATTTCCAAGTCCGCGATCGATGCAGGTTGAATTTGCCACCAGATTTCCGAAGTCAGAATTCCAGCCGCGTTTTCAAAAACCCAAACAATGATCACGTGTCCACGGTCCCCAAAGGGGGGGACCGCGTCAGATTTCTCACGCAGGAAAATTGTTGTGCGGTTGGGGGGGGAACATGCGCTTGGCGCGTGCGCGCGGGGCACGCGTTTTCACGTGTCCAGGGTCCCCCGTGAGGGACCCATGTTCTAGTCGGCGGATTCTTGACTCGTAAAGGTACGTGCGAGGAGGGGGGGGCCTAACATGCGCCTGGCGCGTGCGCGCGGGCCCGCATGTTCACGTGCCCGTCCACGGCCCCCAGGGAGGGACCAAGACTAAGAGCGCCGAGGGTGGGACCCAGCATTCGCTTGGCGCGTGCGCGCGTGGTTGGTCTTTTCACGTGTCCACGGCCCCCAGAAGGGGGACCCAGTTTCTTGTCGGCGGCTTTTTCATACGACAGATTACGTGCGCGGAGGGGGGTGCAAGGAGGAGGAGGGGGAGGAGGAGGAGGAGGAGGAGGAGGAGGGGGAAGAGCAAAAGGTGGTGGTGGTTTTGGCAGTCCATGCGGGGGAAAGTGTAACACGCATGTCAAAAGAAGTATGACTCACACTCCTCTCCGGGTTCGTGGATCTCTAAGGTTGGAATTCCGTACGCGGATAGAGAAACATCAGCGCAACGGGAATGTATGTGTGGGAGGGGTACGATCCAAGATATTGTGCGATCGCACCTTGCTTGTCGCCTCCATCCCGCCTCTCTCGTGCCCGACACCCCTCCTATCGCCCCCCTCCCCTCCCTCCCTCTCCCCTCCCGAATTCCCCTCTCCCTCGTTTCCTTCCCCCCTCCCCTCGCCCTCCGCCCCGCCCACCCTACGGTCCCCTTATGTGCCTCGTCTCGAGTTGGATGATGATGATGATGATGATGATGATGATGATGATGATGATGTTGATGATGGTGATGATGATGAGGATGAGGATGAGGATGAGGATGATAATGAAGATGATGTGGCTGACGCGAATGACGGTGGTGATGATGATGCTGATGTTGTTAATGATGATGATGATGAGGAGGATGAGGATGAGGATGAGGATGAGGATGATGATGATGATGATGATGATGATGGCGATCATGATGCTGATGATGATGCTGCTGATGATGATGCTGACGATTGTGGTCGCGGTGATGATAATGCTGATGATGCTGATGATGCTGACGCTGATGCTAATGTTGCTGCTGATGCTGATGATGCTGATGATGATGATGATGGTGGTGCTGCTGATGAGGAAGCTGATGACAGTGATGGTGATAATGATGGTGGTGGTGGTGATGATGCTTATGGTGATAATGCTGAGTATCGTGATGACGATGACGATGTTGATGATGGTGACGATGACAATGCTGATGAGGATGAGGATGAGGGTGATGTGGATGTTGATGATGCTGCTGATGGTGATAACTAATGATGATGGTGCTGCTGCTGATGATGATGATGCTGAGGTTTGTGGTGGTGTTTGTGATGATGATGCTGATGCTGCTGATGATAATGCGTATGCTGCTGGTAAGGATGATGCTGATGATGCGGATGCTGGTGCTGATGCTGATGCGGCTGATGATGCTGCTGATGATAATGATGGTGGTAGTGATGGTGGTGATGATTATGATGATGATGATGCTGGTGGTGATGATGAGACTGTTGCTAATGATACTGATTATGAATGTGATGATGATGCTGCTGACGATAAGGACTATGCTGTGATGCTGATGCTGTTCATGTTGGTGATGATGATGATGACGATTATGTTGATGGCGTTCCTGCTGCTGATTATGATGCTGTTGCTCATGATGCTGAGCTGCTGATGATGCTGCTGCTGATGATGATGTTGACGATGGCTATGACGGTTGTGACCATCATGATGCTGATGATGCGGTTGATGATGATGGTGATGCTGATGTTAATGATGTTGATATACATGATGACGATGATGACGATGTTGACTGCGATGTTGATGATGATGATGATCATGACGATGTTGCTTACGAGGCTGATGGTGGTGCTGATGCTGTTGCTGTTGCTGTTTAAGATGATGATGCTGATGCTGATGATGATAATGGTGATGATGCCGATGGCGATGATGTTTCTGATCATGATGATGATGAGGATGATGATGACGATGGTTACGATGATGATGATAATGAGGATGATGTTGATGATGATAAGGGTGAGGATGATGAGGATGATGATGCCGATGCTGATGATGATGATGATGCTGATGCTGATGCTGATGAGGATGAGGATGATGATGATGATGATGATGATGATGATGATGATGATGATGATGATGATGATGATGATGATGATTATGATGGCTCAAGTACCTTGGCGCAAGGTGCCACAAGTGGCTCAAGAGCTAAGTTGCTAAAGAGCCTCATGCGGAGGTCAAAGAAACCGGTCATTACACACAGTCCCTCCTCGGCTTCAAGGTGCTGTCTGCGAGTTACATTCGACTGCAGGTGAGCAGTTCGGTTTGTCGTGCGGTTCCTGGTCCGCCCCAGGGTGCTGCCTGCGACCTGCATTCGCTTGCATATGAGCAGACCTGTTGCATATCGCCTTCGACGTGACCTACAAGCGCAGCATCTCTGCGGCCGTCTGCGACTATCACCGAAACCCAGATAGGCCGATGAGGATAACCTCGTGATATCCTGGCAAGGCGCAGGTTCGCGCCAGTGTTTACCCTTCCGCCAGACTTCGATGCGCAGCGGGACGTGCCAACCTACGACTGGGCTGAGGGGTACATGAAAGCCCACCGCACAAAGATAACACGCCAGAGACGAAGCTAAAGGTCCGCAGGGCCGATGCAGCCTTCGAGGTGGTGACGTACTGCATTATGGCGTTCCGTCTCTTCGTCTGCTTCTTGGCGTTGTGTCTCAACATTTTCACGTTGTGGCTCTGGGATGTGTTGCAGGTCATGACGCCCACGGCATTGGCGGGCACCTGTCATTACTTGCCACAGAGCCGAGAACTGCAGGGCGGACTGGGCAGAAGGGCTGTGCGGCATCCAGTACGTCTTCGCGTCGGGACTCCTGGCCGACGGGGACGTCATGCTCCATCACCTGCACAGAGACCCCTGCCGACGTCAAGAGCATTGTGTTCAACTACATGGTCCCGCTTCCTCGGCGCTGGCGCATTCCGATATTCACCACGTATGAGCTCGGGGACTTCTTCACTGGGCACATGCTGCGCTTCGACTCCCACGCTCCTCGAGAATCTGCGCAGATGGAACCTGTTGACGCGCCTTCACATGAACTTGGAGCTCTGTTGGGCAGCGCCATGCGGGAAACTGTACTGGTGGTCCCTGCAATTGGCCCTCACC